CCCCAAAACCCCAAAACCCCAAAACCCCAAAACCCCGAGAAATTATTTAAAGAATGAAAAAGTATTAAAATTAAATGGAAACCTTACCAAATTGTTTTAAAGATAGCTGTGATCACGAAGCAGCTTATTTTTCAGAATCACATGATGTCTACTTGTGTAAAAAACATCGTAAGAACAAATATGGTAAGTTTAATATCTTTGTCATGACTTCTTTCATTCTTTAAAGATATTAGAAATATTATTAAGACCACCTTAAGTTAAAGTTAATTCTTCCTAAAGTGTATAAACAAAGCTGTAAAGGGTTATAAGAATAAATATGACCAAGAAGAAGCCTCACTTTTAGTCGACTTATTAGATTAGGAGCATTGGTGACTTTGCATTATCATTTTTCAAAGTTAAAATTTGAATAATTTCTTAAGTAACAATATTATTTGACAAATCTTTATCTTACGCATAGAAGATGCAATTCCTATTAAGAAAGAAGAGACTGTAGATAGGAACATTGCAATTCTCCAACAGGCCTCAGATGTGCTATCGAGCTTTATCAAATAAAGGAAGAAATAAAGATGTAATCGAAGAAGCCAAACTTCTTATTGAGCAGTTCACCAAAGATACTGATGAGATTCAGGTCGATTTCTGCAAGGCTAAGGAATCAAATCAGCTTTATGAAATTGGAAAAGTTCAGAAAAGAATGGACGAAGTTAGGGAGTTGTTAGATACCCAGTCTGTTTTTATAAAACTCATAAGCAGATGGTTCTGGTACTCTATGAAGAAGACAATCATAGCTAAATTTCCTTCTATGTCAACAGAGAAGTTCTCTGAGACTCAGAGCACATGCAGTAAATAAATCCAAGAAACGTAGGAAGGAATCAAACAGTTCTGCAAGAAGCACTGAATCTAAATCTAAAGGGAAGTCTCAGAAGAAGAAAGTTAAGAAGGAATCTAAGTTTAAGCAGGAAAAGGAAGATATGACCCAACATGCGAATGATAGGGTTAAGAGGAAGTGAGAGGAGCTTGGTGGGTATGGAGATAGGACAGGTAGTCAGACTAGTCAAGATGGGGTTGAAGAGAGACCTCTTGTTACTCTTCAATCTGGAGCGAAGTATTTAGGGCAATGGAATATTGAGAAGAATACAAAGCAAGGTAAAGGGATACAGGTCTGGCCAGATGGCTCCATGTACGAAGGTTACTGGGACTACAGTAAAGCAAATGGACTTGGCAGACTCATCCATGCTGATGGAGAAGTTTATGAAGGAGAATGGCTTGACGACAAAGCTCACGGCAGAGGAATCTATATACACTTAGATGGATCCAGGTATGAAGGAGAGTGGTATAAAGATACAAAACATGGCCATGGAATTGAAACTCTTCCTGACGGATCTAGGTACGAAGGTCATTATAAGAGAGGAAGCAAAACTGGACGTGGAACTTTCAAATGGCCTGATGGCCGTAGTTACACTGGTGAATTCTTGGATGATAACATTCATGGAGAAGGGACTTATGAGTGGCCTGACGGAAGAAGATATGATGGTCAATGGGAAAATAATAAAATGCATGGAATTGGAATATTCACCTGGAAAGATGGAAGAAAGTATGAAGGTGAATACATCAATGATCAGAAAGAAGGAAATGGCACTTTTACTTGGCCAGATGGCAGAAAGTATATTGGAGACTGGCACTTTGGCAAGCAACATGGAGTCGGAGCCTATGTTACATCAAAGAGGAAAGAGAGAAAAGGCGAATGGGATAGTGGTAAAAGAATCAAGCCGATCGAGAAAATAGAAGAACAATCCTAGTGAAGCTATAATAATTTAATTTAATTGCACATTTACTTTAAGAAGTATATATAGAATTATTACATTGCTTTCACCAATTTATTTTTTAATTTTAAATAAAAGAAAATATCAATTATTTTTCGGTGAATTGGGGTTTTGGGGTTTTGGGGTTTTGGGGTTTTGGGG